ATCTACCTATCAATGACCAACACAAAATAGGTAAGGATAGAAGGTTCTTCAACAGATTTATTTTTTTAGAATGTATGAAGAGTTGAAGCTTTGACAAGTCATTCTGCCTCCTGACTTTGAATTCACATTTTACAGCTCTGCTTATACATGGTCACATCAATTTCACTCCTAAATATCTCCTCTCACATGTATGACACTCACCTTAGCAAGACTTGGTTCATCTCTTTGGGTTCTTCTGCCTTACCTTGGGTCTGCTACAAATTTCCATTCTGTAAAATTTACTGATTTTGCACAGTTCACCCTGAAAACACTTTGATCCTCTTGTTTGCAGCTCTACTTATCCATTTCCTTACTCTAAATAAAATTTTTCCCCTCCAACAGTCTCCCACTTTCTCATGGCAATATTGGCACTTTAGAATGTCATCCTATTAGGAGATGCTCCTGGCTATTTATTTTTATCTGTAGAGTGTAAAGCAATTCGATAACGTGAAAAAACACCCGCAAGCACTGTCAAATGCTATAAATCCCCTGTCTCCATTTTTCAAGCAGTTACTTTTTTGATATTTAAACTCAAATCCCGATGATAGAAACTCGCATTTTAAGGACAGGCAAGTAGAAATTTCTCACCAACCAAACAAGTTGAGCTATGCTTCTGGATATGTATAGCTAGCTCTTTTTTGCATCACACCTACTCTACTAAATATACAAAACACGGAACAAGTGATAGCTTTGTCAGCCACCAGCTAATCAGATGAAAAATTATTATGCTTAGAAAAATAATAAAGGTAGAAGCCAGCTGTGCATTTGTTGGATGAAAATCCCAGTGTCTCCCATGTTAGATCATGTGCATTTCAATTTCTGGGAAGAAAATAATGGGAGTTTCTCCACCCTTTCTCATGTGAGCCATAAAACAGATTTATTACCTAGGATATATTCTATGTTTTCTCCCGAGAAAAAAAGAAAGTGGTGGAACAAGTTCATTTTTTTTTTCTCTTCTACAACTAGGATTTTCTTTATAATAAACACAGAGCTAAATTTTGGTATCACATAGCCCTTCTATTTAATGCTCTGGCCACACTTTTTACCTTCCTAAATGTTGAAGTGTAGCATTTTCTTTTCAGTGGGGAATCTACAGCTGTTCCAGCTGCCTGAGTGTGAAAAGTCTGTCCTAAGATTCCCATCAGATACTTTCTAGAGCACAGTCCTTTTCTCCACTAAATCGAAGAAATTTGCCTTCTACTGAAAAGTTGTACAATAACTACAAAACTGTTAAATGTTGGTCTACTTTTCAAATAGTTCAGCTCAGCTTTACCTGACACCCAACTGTCACCCAGCAGCTCTGGGAAAGTCAGTCTGCAAACTTTAGGGCAGTGTTAAATCTCATCTGGGAAAGTTTTCCTGTAATATTTTTTTTTTTTTTTAAATGATCACAGTCACCTTCTGGCCTTTATGAATAAATCTAAGAAACAATTTGCTAAGGTTTTTTTTTTTTTTTCTCCTCTTTATTTCCTAGTTGTGGGATGCTAAAATTCTAAATTTACCTGAACATCTATGATGGCAAAACTGTTTATACGAAAGGAGCTTTCCCATCTACCTTGTACTTCGTGGTACAGAGGAAGCTGATTCATATTTTAATGAAAATGCTTCTGAATCATGATACAACCTAGATTCTGTAGTTAACAGTCTAGAAACTTTCAAGATTAATATATACCTTTTAAAGTGATATCCAGCAATACCTTTTTGTCTTGTTTTAATTATACTATTAATTCCATAGTATTTGAAACCTCATAATCTACTCTTAATAACTAGCAGCTACTGTTTAACGAGTCACTTCTCTCAACAGGGCCACTGACATTTTTCAAAGTTCCAGTTCTTCCAAATAATCCCACTGTGTATGAATGTTTAGACTTAGTCATGAATGGCGCTGAAACTATTTTGAAATGAGTTGTTATGTCATGATTAGTTGCATATAATTAAAATGTGTTCATCATATTTGTGAAAAAAGTTGCTTAAGAGAAGTTAAAACCCCACTTTGTATCACACAGCTGTRGCAATGTGTGAAGAAAGTTGTTTTGCAAAAAATCACACTTTTTTTTTTTAAAAAAAGAGTTCTTTCTTTCTCATTGTCCTGTGTTCATTTTTACTGCTTCACAAAGATATTAAAAAACAGTAGTTTTTATTCTATTGTCAATTTAAAATCCTTAGTTTGTATTACCAAGTTTCTAGCGAGTCAAACTGTCTTCTCACAAAGAAAGCATAAATTCAAACACATAAAATTTTTGGATTCAAGCAACATAACTTTAGGAAAAGTTATCTCTTTTTTTTTCCTTTACAAAGACATAAATAAAAATATAAAATTGCTGACATTTGCCGTTTGTGCCAAAGTATTGCATCAGCATTAGAATTTGGACACCACAAAAGGTGTCCAAACAGAAAAGCTCAACCTTTCCTTCTTTAATCATTACTATTTTTTTCACAGTACCAGAAAACTGACACATACATAACTCTAACCCAATACAGCTATGACAATAAATATATATCTACATATAGCTTATATAGATATGTTATATATCTATAGCAATTTATTACAGAAGAGTAATCATAGTGGCTGCTTTCCCCAAGAAGACAATGCCTAATAGAATAACATTTTGGAAAGCAGTATTCTTTAGCATTAAATTCCCCATAAATGCCCATTAGCCACAACTGAGTGTTTTCCTGTTCTTACTGTTCAATGAAATGGTATGTTGTTATGGCTGAGCTTGCAGGGAAATAACACTCCAAACAAAAGGTATGCAAACACAAGACACGATACAACCAGATGTACTGCATGATAGTGTGCCAAATTATTGTCCGCTTAGAATGCAAAAACATACCCGGGTCATTAGTTAAGGGTTTCACTGCAGAAAGGAATTCACAATATTCTGAATTGATCAACATGGTCCTTAAGGTGCAACACAGACAATGACAACTCCCTAATGTATTAAGATTCTAATATTGTAATTCTAATGCTTAAAAATAAGTTTGTACACCAATAATCAATTATATCTGTGAAATGAGAAACTGGTTTCTACTCTAGTGTGTGCACCAGTTAAATTTTTATACAGGATAAAAACACATTCAAGCAACAACTCAAGCAAGAAGTTAGAATTCCTGATCACAAGATATTTTTACTATARCTAGAAAAACAATTTTACCTGTAAATCAATAAAAATGTGAATAGGGATCATTAAAGGACAATAAGTTATCCTAGTAGTTTATTTACATTATAAATAATCTATTTATTTTGTTAAAAATAAATACTATGTCCTCTACTTTCCATATAGCTTATACAGAAAGGAAAAATGAATAAATTAAATGCTTTCCAGTCACAATCCCCTCCTGAAAAGCCTCATAAAAAAACTAGTGAAATGGAGTTCGGCAGTGGGAGTTTTATACAAATGACAGATGAAACGCAAAGAAAATGCACTAAAACGTAAAACTGCACAAAAAAGGTATTTTGCCAAATGACTGTCAGAGAAAGCTGCCTGCAGACTTCAGTCTCCCACATCCTGTATTTCTCCAAAGGATGTAAAACAATTATTTTGTGCCTTGCTCATGTCTGAATAAGGCTACTGATTCTGAGCACTGTCTACTTTAAGCTCTGCCATATAAATGAGCTGCGTAARGTATTGCATTCTTTCTAATGAAGTACTCCTACAGGAGATGAAAAAACATATATAATAAAAGAACCCAAATTTCAGGCATGTAGATGCCATCTAAACACTACGAGAACACACTCAGAAYACAAACTAGGTCCATAAAATGTTATGGGTCAAACAAAGCGCTCATGTTGAGAACAACTGGAAAGYAGACTTAAGTCTCCCACACCTTATAAATAAATCTGCAATACTTTGCTGCAGAATCAGACTGCCAGTAGAGGGAGCAAAAGCAAGTAAACACGGAACAGAAATCCAAAAGTGCCAGTGCTGCCGTGCAGGAAGAAGGAGCTGTGTGCCCAGGCTGCACAAGCGAGCCGGGGGCTCCTTCTCTTTCCCCACTACCTAAAGCGGTCTGTGAAAATGCAGCCAGGCGAGATTTCTTCACTTTCCCGACAGGAAAACCTACTAGGAGAATTTCTGATGGCAATGTGAGTAAAAACATAGTAACACTGGTCAAGCTGTTGCTTTAAGGAGAGTTTTGTAGATTTCAGTAGGCTATACCTGAACAGAAATGTGCACTATTTGCATAAAATTGTGGTGTATTAATTATCATTGAATAACTCAGGCTGGAAGGAATCTCAGTCTAATTTCCAGCACAGAGTGATTTCAGCTAAGACAGCATATGAGGTTGCTCAGGACTATCTCTAGTGAGATAAATGCATTTTTTTTTCTCCTATTACTATAGTACAAGTATTATAAGAATATATATATATATATATTTACTTTTGCAAGTGTTTTTAAGTGAAAGCTACTGAAGCACTTTAGAAGTCAGTTACGCTCAGCAGCTCTTCTTGAGGATCACAGTTACAATTTTGCAGGTAGGGAAGTGCAAAGGAAGGAAAATCCCACCAAGGGTTTGTTTTCAAAGGACAGAAGGACTGGATACACAACTCAGGAGGTTCAGTTCCCATCCCATATCTACTGCACATGATGCAGAGTGCACACGAGCGCAGGAGAGACAAGCTTGTTCCCCAGCTCTTACTTTTAGCTATCTTAAAAAGCAAGCAAACAAAAAAATCATTACTGTTGGTCTCAAAACAAAAGCAGAGGTTATTACAGAACAGTTGTAAAATTCAATGCACCCAAACCGCAAGCTCCATTTCGGCTAGGTTTGGTATTTACGGCTCGCTGATACTCGGCGCTTCTCGGGGCACGTTGTGAACCCAGAGCACGAGCTGCGGGACGGGGCACCCTCGGCGGCGGCCGCCGGGGAAGGACCACGCGGCTGCAGCCCGGACCGCGTGGGGCTCCGGGGAGCGCCTGCCCAGAACACAGTCCCCCCCTGCCCGCCCCGCCGCTTACTCGTTTGGCCGGGCCAGCTCCGCGCCCCCTCCAACGGCGCTAACGGAAAACGTAACGGCTCTAACGGAAACGCCCCGCGCGCCGCCCAACGGTTGCCATGACGACACCGCACGCGCCGCCCCCACGCCCGTGACGCGCCTCCCTCGCGGCGGCAGCGTTGCCTCCTCCGTCCCGCCCGCCGCCGCTCACCGGGCTCCCTCGGCGGGCTCCGCTGCCGGCCAGCGGCTCCGCGGCGGCCGAGCGGGTGCAGGGGGGACCGGCCGCTCCCAGAGGCGCCTCCGCTGCCCCGGGTGGGTGCGGAAGAGCGCGAGCGGGGGCGAGCACGTGACGCCCGCGACGCCCGCGCGTGACGTAGCGGGGGGGGGAGCGAGCAGCGAGGCGCGCATGCGCCGTAGGAGGGCGGCGGCGCCTGAGGGGAGCCCGGGAAGCCGCCGGCGCGTGGTGCAGCCCGCCATGAGTCCSCATCTGCCGTGGGACGAGCCGCCCCGCGGCCTCGGCCCCACGCAGCCTCCGTGGGCGTCCCGCATGCTGCCTTCCTTGCGGAAGGGACTCGTCAGAGGGAAAAGTTTAACACCTTCCCCTATAAATGTCCCCCCTTGCTCTCCAGGTCCCCTGAGACCTGCTGAGGGGAAAACCAACCATGATTTGCTTGGAGCACTCGTCTCAGTAACTATATATAACTCAATAACTTACTCATTTTATGTAGCTTCTCAGAAGGCTATACTGCCATAATTTCRGTTTGGGCTATTGGTACATGATAAAAATAATGCTTTTCACTTTTCTTGCTATTTTTGGCTTTGGAGTCAAAGGGCTTTTCAAAGTTAAATGACACCTAGAGTATCACAGTGCTGTTTAGTAAGAGTTCAACTTCCATTAAAGCAAATAAAGACGTGTACTTTTTAAGCAAGTATGTGAATGCACATATGGGCTTGTTTTTTCCTACTCTAATGCAATTATTACATCAAACCCATTACCTGTAGGACAGCTTAATTCCTGAGGCTGCTCCTGAGCATGTCAGCTGGATTCAATGGTTAACGAAAACGCAATGCGCTGGAGAGGCTATGCCTCTTAATGTCCTAAATACAGATAAATAGCTTCAGTCTTATACAAGGCACAAATACAGCTCTGTTTTCCTACATGTTTTGCTGAAAATTAAGAGATTAAAGACAGCAGATCATGCCCATAAAAATCTATGCATAATGAAAGCACATGTACAGCATCCCTTCAGGTCTTTAATTTGTTAGGAACTAAATGTTTGTTGGAATACGATGCAGTTAACATTCCCTGCAGTCTCCTTCAAAATGAAATACCCCTTTCACAACACAAAGATAATGAGTTATATGGCAAGATAAGGTGGTTACCAGAATTCAGGAATGACAGAATCCAATTAATTTAACATGAATTAAGGCAAGATCAAATTTATTACAGTTGGATGCAATTTGTAATTGAAAGTTCCATTACAGTGCAGGTTTTTACACGCTTTCTCTCATTAATAAGAGATCTCAAAAGAGGCAGGTTCCCCATTTTGCAAGGCAGCAATGTAGTATAGTATGACCAGTAACTCACTTATGTGTGTACTGTGAACAACTGCAGGGACCAAGACCACACAGTACTGAAGGCTGTTCCCTTTCTCACAGAAGAAGAAAGACAAAATGCCGTGACTGAGAGTCGAGCAGAAAGTTGGACCTCATGTTCTCTGGCTGCTTTGCTGAGCTGCCACTGCCTTGTTACTTATTCAGACTTTTTTTTTTTTCTTTTTTCCTTCTTTCTTTTTTCTTTTTTTCTTTTTTTTTTTTCTGATTTTTCACTCCTCTAGGCAATCCCCTCTCTCTTTTTTTGGATGGGAGGGGTAGAATCAACCCTTTAGTCAAATAAACCTTTTAACCTCCTATCCTCAAAATAAACACCTTTATTGTGGACAGTCCAAGCTCCTTAGGTAAAGCCTTGGGTCTCAAATCCAAAAGATACACTGTGCCCTTTTAATAATTTCATAGTGGAAACCCTTTATTTGCCCATTCCTGTGGCGTTATGGAGGTTTTCAATGATTCTGGTTTAGGTTTCGGGATTAGGTGAAACCAGAGTGCCTTAAACCTCTTTAGAGGTTTGGGATTAGGTCTGCATCAGGCCTAATATAGCCTTTCTATGCAAGGCTAAATTAAATGGCAAGAATATTTGTTGTGCGCTGATTCACAGGTGTTTGGCAAAATACCAGAAAACATAAAGGAACCACTGGAAGAATCATGAAGGCAAAGCCATCGAAACATGAGCATTAGCTAAGTACTGCAGTATCACTTGCAACTGTGGGGTCTTTCAGACTGTGTTTCTAAGTGATTTTAAGCATGGATATCATTTTTATGTGTCTCTCTCACATGAATGTGAGTAAATTGAAGATCTATCGTGCAAACGGATCAAGGATTTTTATTTCAGTATCACATTCTGGTAATTGAGGCCTGTTTTATAGCAAATGTATATTAAAGTTTGTCAAACAGCTGATATCACTGAAGCTCTATTGTTTTATTGTGCACATAAATTCTACTCCTTCTCTGAGGTATGCAGTGCCCTGACAGCATGTGCTAGGTCACGCGGAGAGGAGCACAATAGATTTATGCCTATTATTAAAACACCACCACCTTGTCTGGCTTAGGAGGCAGAGACGTTTTGCCTCATTCATGACTGTGGACTAATTAGAGGAGATAGTTTCGTTGTGTAGGCTCTGTCTACTATGAGGCTTTTCAGCAGCTTTTCACTTGCTTTGTCTCTTCCAGGGATATTTCTCCTCCACCTGCTCAGCTCCAAAGTTGGGCAAGGCCTGACAAACTGGGTGCTGGCTAAGATGAGGAGATATCAATAAGCTGAATGAAGAGCAGCTCCTTGCTACAGTGTCAGGATCTCCGCAAAGCTCAGCAGCTCATTTGGCTTCATCTATAGCAAAAAAAAAAAGGAGCTTTGCAACCCTGGCTCTATAGCATCTGGCCCTGTATCCTAAAGAGCTGGATATGTAGCTATCAGGTGGTGTACAGAAATAACCTGGTGGGTTATTTCTATGAGCTGTCCAAGATCAGCTATTACCCAGGCATAGCCATCTTCTCACACCAAACATTCCTTTTGCTCACCACATGCCTGCCAGCTCCCTCCAGAGAAGTGTATTTTGAAAGCATTTCCCCCCACTCCCTTCCAGATTTCAGTTTCAGTTATGGACTTGCCTGTCTTTCTTTAGAAAGTCAACCCCATCTCAGAATTACACAGTTTCTCAGGTGATTTTTCTTTCTTTTTTTTTTCTTTTTTTTTTTTTTTCCATGCCAACAATCGGTTCTCTTGCAGCCAGTGTTTTTGCATTCCTACAGCACATCTTTCAGTTAGCGCTGTATATAACCAGATTGTATCTTAGGTCTGCTTGCAAAAGCAAAACAGAATAGTTAAGACAAGTTTCAAGAGAGTACGTCCCTTTTAATCAGATGAGTTGTAAAAGAAAAGAGGGAGGCTAAGTGGAAGGATTTAATAATCTTAGAATCTGTATAAAACATTATTTATGGCTTAAGAGCTACACAAGGCCTGAACTTTCAATTCTTCTCCTCCTTAACAGTGCATGTAAGGAAGAAAAGAGAGAAATGTTACTAGTCAAGGACATAACCATAAAATAATGAGCAGCAGAAGAATGAAATGAAAGTATTAGGGGCCAAGGGAGGCTGAGTGGGAGTTCATCTTCATACATGATTGAGCTACACTTGGAAAAAAAGAATGAAAAGACACCCACTTCAGCCTTAAATGAAATGAGCATAAATAACAGTCTCATGTCAAATACACTGCTATTTCCAATCAAGTTTTACACTACAAAATCTCAACATTCTCAGTCTAATTTCTCTCAGATAAAACAACCTGGCTGGTGCTGCGAGGCAGAAGCCTTTGAAAGTGGCAAGATGTTTGGGGTGAACAGAAAGGAGGAGACAAAGAGCTGCTGTTAACAGAGCTTTGCAAGATGAGGCCCCACCTTTCTTGCCTGGAAACCTGCCTAGACGCCAGGAATTGTTTATCTCCCCGGTGGGAAGTCTCGCTCCATGCAGCCAACTCAGGGGACCAGCACCCCACGTGCATCTGCCCATGCCAGGCCTAACTCCCTCTGAAATCAGGAGCAGAGACACCAACAACCTCCTGGATGCTGGACGCTCTCATTATTTTACCTTTCAAAACAGCCAACTGCTCTGACCATAAATCTGAAGGTCCTTGCATTTTTCAGAGCTCTTGGAAGGCAGTGGCTGCTCCTAGGCAGAAAGAGGGAGACGGGGGAATGATGGGGATAGACTCGCTGTGCTCCAGSCTGAGGAGGAAGGGTGCGGTGAGAGCTGGGCCTATCCACAGGCGCTGCGTGCCAAAAAGCGCGTTCCTCCTGCCACAACCTAGCCCCATGGCCGTGTCCCCTCCTTCGTGCTCAGTCTGGCACCCTGTGGGGAGCACCAGCATCGGAACATAGGGCCGGGGAAGGAGAGGGTCTGTGCTGGGGAACRGTCGCTGCTCAGCAGCGCTGCCCTGGGTGGCTGCACCCAAAGGAGCAACGCAGCCGGGATGCAAATGTTTCCGGCCAGCAAATGACACCTCACCTTCAGCAGGAAGCTCATTTCCCTCCACAGCCAGCAAGGAAAAACAGGCTCTTAACTACGTGGGAATATCCCCTCCAGCTTTGTTTCTGCTTCCACTGTTTCCTAGAGTAACATGCTTTAAAAACAAGCTTTGAAATCCAGAGGTGCCACTCCATGGGAAGCGGGAGACGCCTTCGGTCTTGGCATGGGCTCCGATACTGCTGGGAAGACCTTGTCCTGGTGGTGAGGGCAGCCCRTTGGGATGTCTTATGGCAGTGAGGAACATAGCAGGACCAAACGGGGGACACAGTGACACCYATATTTTCATGTGTTTAGGGGCACCTCAGGAGAATTCCAGGTTGTCTTGCCCAACCCTTCCCAAAGAACAGACACAAACTGGCCCTTAYTCTCCTCAAAGCCTTCATTGGAAAGTGGCCTTTGGGCATCTTCTGGAGCATCTCTTTCATCTGAGAGGC